ATTTTTTTCATCTTATTTCGGGTGAAAATGCGATTTTTCATTATGCTTACAAATTTTAACGTTGAGTAAAATGCATATGCATGTTTATAGTCTAACAGAAGTAAATAAACATAATATTTATAACATACTAAAATTTTGGAAATAGAAAACTCGAGATAAAGTGGGGTGTTAACATCCTAATAAAATAAAAGACAAATTGTTCATATTTTTAATGTTAGTGGTTGAGTTAACTCAAAATATACCAAAAACATGAAAGTTAATACAAAACCATCATAATTCAAATCAACAAGTATAATAAAATTAAACAGAAAACTATCGCAAACAACCCCGCGCTTGCGGGGCTTCAAACCTAGTATATATATAAAGTTCATGTAATTCTATTCTGGTGCTGCCACCTCAGCAGAAGATGGTGTCTCTAAATTCAGCATATCAATTTATTTATTATATATATATATATTTTTTAATTTTTATAATAATTATCATTTATTACTATAGTAACTTAATAAGAATATAAAAGTATTTAAATGTTATGTATAGATCTACAAAAACTATTATTTAGTAATAATAATAATAATAATAATAATAATAATAATAATAATAATAATAATAATAGAAGGATATTATAGAAAGAACATCTTTTTTTTAGTATTTTGGAATGAAATGAGACGAGATTGAACATGACGAGACGAAAAAAAATAGAACTGGAGAATAGGGGAATTTGTTTACTTCTTATTATATTAAGTGACGAGATGAGATCTAAAGGAATAGAAAAGAAAGGGATAGGACAAGACATAAATTCCGCCTACCTCTAAATATAATAATTAGAGAAAAGACAAGACATAAAGGTTGAACGGGATAGAATGAAAAGAAATAGAATATGGTGGGATTGGACGGGACGAGATGAAAATGGACATAATGGGATGGAAAGGGACGGGACAAGAATTTTGCCTAACCCTAATTATATTTAGAGACGACACACAGAGAAGATAAATTGGAAAAGAACATAATAGGACAGGATGAGATTGGATGGGGCGGATAGAACGAACAGAACGAGACAAGATGGAAAAGGAATAGAATTGAACATAATTATGTCTAACCCTAATTATATTTAGGGAACGAGACGAGAAGAAACGAAATGGGATATAACAAAATGGAATAGGATGAGACTGGACGGGACAAGAGGACGTGAGAAAAAAACGTACATGATGAAAATGAACAAAATGGGACGATATAGAACAATACGGTACAAATTTGTTGTCTAACTTTAATTATACTTAAGTAATATATGTATAATATATTTAAAAAAATATTAAATTTGTGGAAAACAATAAAACTAACACAACCCGCGCTAAGTTAAGGCTATAAGCCTCTGAGGACGTCCACAGAGTATTTAAAAACTCGATCTTATTGGTCCATAAAAGCATGTTCAAAATTATAAAATTTTCCGAAATTTTCCAACCAATAGTATCATTTCACATCATCATATAAAAGTGGTAAATTTCTTTTTTATTTTTTAAGAAAGTTTCCTAATTCAAAAATACTATTGGTTTTTTGTATTAAAAAGTTTATAAAATTAAAAATATCTTTTTTTTAATACCAAAACTAATTTAACATGTATACATTTTCTTATTAGCTCTAATATATATGACAACAATCAAAATATAACCATATTTAAATTAAAAACACAAATCCAAAGTAATTAAACAAAGTTTTTTGATTTTTGTTAAAAATTAACGTTAGTTTAGTAACTAGATTTGAAAGATTTACGTAAAAACATTAACGTTAGTTTAGTAACTATATTTGAAAAATTTAAGGCTATAAGCCTCTGAGGACGTCCACATAGAATTTAAAAACTCGATCTTATTGGTCCACGTAAGTATGTTCAAAATTAAGAAATGTTCCGAAATTTTCCAACCAATAGTATCAATCCACATCGTCATATAAAACTAGTAAATTTCTTTTTTATTTTTTAAGAAAGTTTCCTAATTCAAAAATACTATTTTTGTATTAAAAAGTTTATAAAATTAAAAATATATATATTTTTTTTTTTTAAGACAAAAAAAAACTAGCTTAACATGTATACATCTTCTTATTAGCTCTAATATATATGACAACAATCAAAATATAACCAGATTTAAATTAAAAACACAAATGCAAAGTAATTAAAAAAAGTTCTTTGATTTTTGTTAAAAATTAATGTTAGTTTAGTAACTAGATTTGAAAGATTTACGTAAAAACATTAACGCTGGTTTAGTAACTAGATTTGAAGATTTACGTAAAACATTTGGAAAACTACATAATTTGTTATGAAGAACTATATAGACATGAGTTGATTTTTTTTTAACTACAAAAAGGAAGTTACACCATAATAAAGAGAACTGTTCATAGCAAACTTAACAAATTTTGTAAGAGAGCCGGCATTAACATTACATAGCCTAGAGATAAAATAAAAGAAGATAAAAGATACAAAATGCCTAATATCATATAGAAGACATTTTAGTTTATGTGTAGTCTTTTTGAGATAATGAGAATGATTAGCTTTGCGAGTGTCATAATTATATTAATGGAAACAAAATATGCATTAAGTGCACTAGATAACGCTTTTTCATCTTAAAAACTTCAGCAATAATGGCTCCTATGGAGAAGAGGAGATTTGATAATCCAATTCATATATCATATTTTTCTGAGGAAACATTTCAAGTCGTATCCAAACAGAAGTTTTATTCAAAATAAAGAAAATTTTCAAAATTTAAACAACCAATAGTATCAGTCCACATCATCATATAATCCACATAGTATTTAGCAACATGATTTTATTGGTCTAAATAATTATCTCAAATATTAAGTAATTTTCCAAATTTAATCAACCAATAATATCATTCCACATTATCATATAAAATTTCATATCTTACTTTGATTGGTTCAAATAAGCATTTATATGATTAAGAAAGTTACAACTTTTAAATATGTACGAGATAAAGAAATTAATTTATATATGATTTTAATTTTTAAACAACCAATATTATCATTTCACATCATCAGGAAAATTACTTAATTATTTCCCTTCCCATATTTCAGAAAAGTTTATTAGTTCAATACTTTAGAAAATAAAGAAATTTTATTTTATAATTACAACAAAAATAAAACTTTGTCATGTAAATTAGTTATATTAAATTTCAAACAACTAATATTATTAGTGCACATCAACTTATTTAACATTAAGAATTTTTCTAAAATTTAAAACTTTGCTAAGACATGAAACGAAAAATTAACACAAAGGAAGAATAAAGAAGAGCATAAGCAAATATTAGTGAAGATGATTAAGAAACCAAATAAGAACAAAGAAGAAATCAAACTAGGATAAATTGAAGAAGAATAAATAAAAGAAATTAAAAACCATAGAAACAAGAGTGAAGAAGGAAATGAAACCAAACAAGAACACAAAGGAGTTAAGAAAAGCAAAGACGAAGAAAAGTAGAAGCCAAACAAGAAGACAAAAGAGGAATAAAAAAGAACGAAAACGAAGATGATTGAAGATAAATAAGAAACCAAATAAGAACAAAGAATAAATAAAAGTAGGAAAAATGGAAAAAGAATATATAAAAGAAAATTAAAAAAGATAGAAACAAGAGTGAAGAAAGAAATGAAGAATAACAATGTGCATTGATTAGCTTCTCTTCAAATAAATTTTATATCCCAAGAAATCCAACTGAAATATTAGAATTAGTTTATCTACAATAATTTTAGCTTTTCTAGCTTAAATTTATTCAGACGTACAATTTCCATTTTTTTAGGTTTATCTAGGTGTATCAAATAGTGAAAATATATTCTACCTACAATCAAAGAGGTTTATACTAAATATATTTACAAAAGATAGTCGTGAAGAATTTAAAGCGAAGAACAACTAATACATAGAAGAAGAGGAAGTTGGAAAAAACAAAATCTTGTGAAACCGCATTTTCTATGGAAAGAATTAATCATAGAAGAATAAGAACCAAGAAAAGCCAAAAAAAAGAAGTAAATGAAGAAAAGCAAAGACGAAGATAGCAAATAACGGAGAAAAACCCACATAATATAAGACTAAACCAGTAAATCAAATAAAAAGATGAAACCGAAGAATATGAAATTGAAAGGTATGCTTAACTATATCTATGTGAACGCATAAATTTAATTATTTATATTATTGTTAGACATTGCTTATTATATGTGTGAATATGTAGTTGTACATTTCTAACTTAATTTTATTTCTATGAATTTTTTACGTTTTTAAGTTTAGTTAAGTGTATCACATAGTGAAAACTTTATTCTACATAAGATTAAATTAAAGAGGATTACAATAAAATTATTTTTAAAAGGGATAAAATCGTGTAAAAAATCCAGCAGAGAATAATAAGAGAAAAAAAACTAACAAGAAAAATATAGTAAAACCCTAACAATTTCGACCGTCTGAACTAACCATAGAAGAAACAGAAGAACAATAAGCAAGACAAGCACAAAGAATAAGAAGGAACATTAAAAAAAAAATAAGACAAAGATATCAAAGAATAAAAACAAAAAATAAACAAAAGATGAACAAAGATGAAAAAGCAGACTAAATAACGGAATAAGAAACTGCAACGATGAAAAACATAATAGAAAAATAAGGAAGAATATGAAGAAACTAAAGAAGAAAAATAAACCTAATAAAGAAGAGTAGATCGAAGAAAAATAAACAAAGGACGAAGAATAATGAACATCAGTTTAACAATCACCATAACCATAACCATACTACTAACAACAAAAATTTATGACTAAAAAATATTTAATCAAACTATTAATACAACGTAGAGCGGATAAAAAAAACCTAGTCTCCTCCATATACACCGAGCCCAATTTAGTTCAAAGACAAGATAACATTACACTAGTTCACAAAAAAAAAAAAAAAAAAAAAAAAAAAAAAAGATAAAATTAAATACTTTCATTAAAAAAGACATGACAGTAATTTGAAACATATGACATCACTAATTAGTCAACATGTCTGTAATGAGCTTGTTCTTCAGCGCTTCTTCAATCTCGGATAGTGGTTCTTTTTTTGCAAGGAGGCTGTCTAGTAGTCCCATCTTGGAGAGTCTTTCTTTCATAACCAAGTCTTTCTCTTCAGTCCTACAGATGCTCTGAGACTCTTCCATACCCTTTTTACCTTTGCCTTTTGTTGCCTTAACACAATTGTTAACTGTGTGAGAGCTTGAAGATTGTGCACCATCCTCACACTTTCTTTTTTTAGAGCTTCCATCAGCCTTACTACTAGAAAGATCACACCATTTCTGGTTATTGCGTAGTTCCCTCCATGCATGCTCAAGGTTGAATTTCATCTTGTAATCCTTGAAGAAGATTTGGTGTGCCAATTTAAGAACATCATCATCATTCTCATTCGCATTCTCATTCTGACCACTACCTTTCTCTCTTTTTGCAGCCTCATAAGACCCACAAAACTTGCACACTAGATCATTAATCTTCTGCCACCTTTGCTTACAGTGACTTGGCTTTCGCTTTTCACAACCTACAACCTGAGGGCTTGCCGCAAAGTACACTGAAATATGTTCCCAAAAGGTACCTGATTTCTGCTCTTTAACAAAATCCTTGCTGGTGTTTAACCAGGAGCTGATGAGCACTGCATCATCTATGGGATTCCATTTCCTTCTTTTACTGTGTTGCTCAAGATGTTCCAAGACCATTGTTGCATCCACAATACCAGATCCAAACGACACTATTGTCTGCTCTATGGCACTGTCTGACACCGGTAACATGTCCCTTTTCCTACATATGTCCTTTAGCTCTGACCTTTTCTTCAGAACAAGTTCTTTCATTTTGCTTGCCTTTACCTCGCCCAATCGGACAACTTCTGCCTTAACCTGTATATGGCAATGGAACTCATGTTATGGTTTCCAGACATTGACATAAAAAGCTTCTACCCTTGATCACAGAGTTATAGACCCATGAAAAATAATTCAACAGCTTACATATTTAATGAAGTCTTCGGAGAGACTATTGGCTTCAGTTATTTCATGTTCAGATGCAGCTGTATAGCAGGTGATATACTGATACTTTTGCTGCTCTTCTATCGGTGTATCCATCAAATTCAAGAGCTCCAACATGGTTGTTGCTAGACCTTGAAGCTTCATCAATTTCAATAGGCAACTATGAGCAACAGTAGCAAAAAAATAAAACTATACATAATTCGCCAAGTAAAATCTATCAATTACCTTCTGCAATCTCTGTATCTTAACCTCCCTCAGCTTTTGAACTAAAGCCCCCAATTTCTCAATCGTATGGTCACTTAAGCTTCTTGGTCCTTCTGGATCATTTAATGTGGGATTCACTTGGCCAACAACCTCTTGGAAGTCCATTCCAAGTACTGAGCAATGTGGATACAGAGAACACATGTGTTTCCGAATCGTCTCCACACGATCACTCTGAGTAAAACAAGAACAAATCAATGAAATGGTGGGAATAACCAAACAAAAATAAAAAGCTAGAATTCACATAAAATTTTCACCTTCTCTTTCTCAAGTGCTTGCAGCTGACAGCGTAACTCTTCAAGCTTTCTCATAGACAAGTCAGTCTCATCGATACGTGGCTTGGAAGGAACATGTTCTCCTTGACCTTTGATATCATTAGTAATATTAGCTATTTCTTCGAGGACAAGTACGAACTGGTTTCTTCTTTCGGTTTTCCTCTTTTGCATCTCTTCAAGTTCCGGACGAATCCTCTCAAGCTCTTGTTTCAAGCTCCCAACGCTTTCATCAGACTGACGACACATAGAAAAAGAAAAGGTTAAGGTTGCAAAAGCAATTTATCTCATAAATATAATTCCTAATCATATCACTCACTTGTCTATCATGCACAGGATGTTCTCCCATTGCAGAACAGATGGAAGCTAGTTCTGCTTCAGCATCAGCTATTGCTTGTCTTAGCTGAGCTCTACATCGATTGGCTTGGTCAACTTTTCTTCTGTATACTTCCACGCAATCACGTTCAAGCTCAAGCAACATCTTATCTCTATCAGTTTCTGTTTCTCCAATTTCGTCCCAAATAATCTGATTTTAAGAACAAACAAATTAAGGAACAAAAGTTTGAAAGACGATAAAAGATCATATGGAAGACTCTTATCATCTCCCACCTGAAGTTCGTATAAGAGGGATCCACATGTTGTCTCTACTTGAAGAATCGGATCTTTTTTACTACTTTCCATTTCGATATGGTTCATCCTGTTGACAAGAAGAAAAAATGTGTCATTCCCAAAAGTAGCACCGAAGAATCTGGAGATCCAATTGAAGATAATCAGCATTTCAACTCCGAGTAAAAAAAAATGAAAATTTACACCGTTGTTTCAGCTTGAGACTGATTTAAACCCTAACTATGTATAATCGACTTTTGACATTCCGAAGCAAGCATTTCAAATTCATTTGGGGAAGATTTTTTGAAGCCGAGATTAAACAAGACCAAACACAGAGAGCAAAAATTTGAGAGACATACCTGCCTGAAAGTGGAGATTTCTCGAAGACTTTCCAGTTTGAAGTTTGACCTGAGCAAGTAAATTGGAAGAAGATCGACCAGATCAGTTCCTAGATTTCTGAATTACAGAAAAAATTTGGAAACCTAGATCGGAGTTTCTGTTGAGAGAGAGAAAGGTAGTCGTTAAAGGTCGATGAGAAGAGAGAGCAATAGAGAAAGATGATGATGATTGACAAGATTAGGTTACCGGAGCAGCTCTTCTAGATGTTAAAATTGGGCCTTCCTTAAACCGACGTCGTTTCCACTGATCTCCGACGATATTCTCAGAGACTCCGACGTCACAGACTGAGAATCGACGCCGTCGATTAATCCTATGCTTCTCGTCTGTGAAGCTCAGGAGAAATCCTTCTGCTATATTGTTCTTTTTTCAATTTGTTTTTTTTTCATTGATTTACTGGTGTGGGGAATTTAGGAAAAAGGGTCTTTCGAATTTGATTTTGGAAAAATCCTCTACGATAAAAATATTGTCTTGCTTTACTAATTATATTTTCAGTCTCATAGTTTAACTTGTCTTTTGTTAGCATAGGTTTTAATGTGTGTCCAAATCAGTTTGTTCACGTTCTGGTTTTAAGGCATAACAATGTACATGGACAAAGTCAAGAAGAAACTAGAAATGTATAGTAAGTACGATGTTATAGTCTTTAACTCCAAGGATTCCAAATCCGTAACCGCCGATAAACTCGGTTATATCATTCCTGTCAAAAATCATAGTCTACCATGTTGTTGTTTTTGTACTTGTACTCTGATCTCTACGCTCTCTTTTAGATTATCCTTATTGGTTTAACCGTTGCGCTGCGGTTGCGGTTGCGGGTGCGGGAGTTTGCGGAAGCGGGCGGTTGTGATTAGTAGCGTTATTAAGCGGTTTGTACGACTGGCATAACAATTGAAAATGGATGCGTTTGCGGGTTACTTATGACTGGTTCACTTGCGGATGCAATAGCGGTTAAACAATAAATTAATAATATAAACACATTATATAATTATAAAAATATCAAAAATATTATAATGAAAATTTTAAATTTATGGTTCAACATAATTAAAAATTTTTTTTATAAAGAATAATATGTGTATAATACTTACGTCTATCTTTTAATTTCTATAATTTAAATAAAAATGTGATTTTATTTTCAAAATATATATTTAATGTGAAAATTAAATTTATTTTACAATTTTATTTATTAGATATATATGTATTAGTATGAAAAGAATATTTATGAAGAGAATTTTGATTTGTAGAACTTATAAATATATAAGTATTATATGATTTTAATGAATATTGACTAAAAGTACTAATTTTTTATTTATATTGTGATTTTATTATCCAAATCTTATTTTTTAATAAATATTATTATTTATTTTCGGATTTTATATAAGTTTGTGTTTTTTTTTTTAATTATCCACCCGCAACCGCAAACGCTTGCGGAAAGGAGCTTTTGATTTTGAGGGATGTTGAGGGATCTTGAGCGGAATAATTCCATTAAGGAATAATGTCAAAAGAGATAAGGAATAATTCCATTAAGGAATAATGTCAAGAATAATTAATATTGAGTTCCGTTTCTGTTTCAAATATTCCAGAAACTTCTAGAAAGATTAAGTTCAGTTTCTGTTTGATAAACAGAAAATTAATAATGGAATTCTTCCTTATCCTTTAATGAAATTCTTCCTTATCCCTTAATGGAATTATTCCTTATCTCTATTGATAAACATAAAAAAAAATGATATTTCCTCCTTGGAGAGCAAGTCTCCTATCACCTATATATAAAGGGTCTCACCTCTCTCATTATTCATTCATTCAAAAATCAAACACTCCAGCAAATCTCTCACATCTCTTCCTTTCTTCTCTAAAAGTAAGTCTCGAGAGTATAACGTAGTTTTTTAATTCGCAGATTCTGTAGTTGGGTGTTGCAACTATAGTCTCACACAGTTGTATCCTGGGATTCAAAAGTCTCATCAAAACCGCCACACTGCGAGAGATTTATTGAGTTAAGGAAAGAGATAAAATCTCACCTCTGTGTATTCGTCTGTTTTCAATCGGATTTATTACTATATATTATTATTATATAAGAAATTTTTTTTCAATCTGGATTTTCGCGGTCCTACACAAACACCATGACACTTTCCACACTCATTCTTTATTCTTTACATTCTCATCGATTCCTTTATTCTTTACTATAGCCTCGGCTTCTCTGTTCCACCATTTGTAAATGTCTCTCCAAAAAATTGATCAATAAATTTGAAATTTCATCCCAAAAAAAAATGATCACAATATAATAAAATTGTTCAAAGAACAAAAATGAAAATAAAATACTATTCTTTTTTTTAAAAATTATATATCATGTATTTTATAAGATAAACAGTTATAGATGTATGCACGCGGATTAAAGAAAGAGAATGATAATTTTTGATATATTAATAGCTACATATATGATTAATTCAGTAATACAGATTTAGTTCCCTAACCAAAAATATGAATGAAAATATTTGTAATTATTTGATTCCCTAACCAAAAACATGAATGACAATATTTGTAATTATTAATAACTTGATAATTTCCTGTGACATATTTGTAAATAGTCTAATTAAGAGAGAGTTTTTTTAGAAGATCCTGAGAGTGTGGCAAATGGTGACACCTCAGCAGGTCTTCTCTTTTAATATATAAGGGATACAGTTGAAAATGATAGACCTGAGCATGGAGCAGATATCCGGAAAATATATGTGATCCGTGATCCGCTCCGTCTGATCCCGATAGTTGATTTTCCGATCTGCTCCGATCCAAAAATTTGCGGATATCCGATCCGATCCGTAAAATATTAAAAATAAATAAAAACATATAATCCCTCTGTCTCATATTATAAGCAGTTTGGCAAAATTATCTGCAAAAAAATGGATGTATCTGGAGACTATTGCATCCAGATACATCCATTTTTTTGCAGATACATTTTGCCAAACTCCTTATAATATGGGACACACAGAGTATTAATTATAAATAGTTGAACATTAGATAGAAACATCCCTAAATATATTATTGTTTCATAAATTATAATATGCCTTTAAAAATAAGTTCTAAAAACGTAAATTAACTGATCACAATGGTACCACTAAACACATCATCGTTAACATTAAAACATAATGCAAAACTAATTTTTAAGTTTTAAACATATAATTTGTAAAAAAAATTATTTAGTCACCATATTCCTAATTTTAAAGTAATTAAGTAACCTATTGCTACATTATTATAAAAAAATTACTTGATAAATGAGTGAATTATATTTGTGAATAAAATATTTTTGTTGATTTGTATGTTTCTAAAGACAAAAATAACAAATTTCTTACTATAATGTGTATATATATATACATAATTATTATAATATACAGATCGGATCGGATATTCGGTTTTTCAAAAACAGTATTTGCTATTTGCTTCGTTTTTAACGGATATTGAATTTTAGTATTTGCTTTGAATTATTTCGTTACGGTTATCCGGATTTTTCGGATCAAATCAAAGCGGATCGAATCGGATATAGCGGATAATTTGCCCAGGCCTAGAAAATGATGTGGAGTATTTGCTGTTGAATTTATTCAACTCATTGAAACAAGAAAGGTGGGGTCTTCTGTTGCCACATGGCATATTTTGATTAGTCGGAAAAAATAAAAATATATTAATAAAAAATAAAGATATATGCTTTAGTCTGATTGGTTGTTTATATTTTCAGTTTATTTTTTTTCCTCCTAAAGATAGAAAATAGATTATCTTATCACAAATTTAACATATAAAAAAAATTATTCCAGAATTCATCATTTTTAATTCTCTATAAATAGAGACTTGTTTCATTTGATCTGGACACAAAAACAAATCTCATCTTAATATCATTCATTTTCATATTAGCCTTAAATAAATTTTTGATTTTTGCTTTAAATCTTTTTTTAGTGCAATGGATCCTAATAATAACCCTTTTAATACCCAAAATTCTGCTAATTATCTTTTCATTTATCCAAAATTCTGCTATTTAGTGGATGGAGTAAATATGGAACCGATCTTATTATTGGTAGAAACCAAAAAAGTGAATCCTACTAGGGTAGATTGCTTAATATTGTAATAAACATTGTTCATTTGATCCTCCACGTGACGGAACTTCATGTAGGAATCATTATAACTACATAAATCAAAGATTGGCAAAATGGGTTGACACATATGATGGCGCTAAACGTATGCAACAAAGCGGGTGGTCAGAGAATGATATACTGGCGAAAGCACATGAGCTATATTCAAGTGGTGGTAATGGAATTTTTACTTTGATTCAAGAATGGCTCAAAATTCGTGATCAACCACGTGCAAAAATTGTCCTACAGCATGGGAAGGCCAATTTACCCGGGGAGATAAAGGAACCACCACTGTTATTCTTGAAGGAGTTGCAACTCATGATCTATGGATCTGACATGCCTTTTTTGGATGTCCGGGCACTTTGAACGATATAAACGTTCTAGATCGTTCATCGTTTTCGATGATGTTGAACAAGGAAATACTCCAAGGGTGAACTTCTTCGTGAATCAGCGACTGTATGATATGGTTTACTATCTAGCTGATGGTATATATCCTTCCTATTCGACTTTCGTCAAATCGGTTAGACTTCCTCAAAGTGAACCAGGCAAGTTATTTGCAAAATATCATGAGGGATATCGGAAGGACATCGAACATGTATTTGGAGTATTGCAAGCTCAATTTCAAATCATTCGCGAACCAGCTCACATGTGGGACATAACTGATTTGCAAATCATCATTAGGTCATGCATCATATTAAATAATATGATTGTTCAGGATGAACGAGATTCATATGCTCAAAATTGGACTGTGATTGATTATGATCATGCAGTGGCAAGTGGGTCTAATTCAACACAACAATTCTCAACAGTTGTGTGATCCAACTGTATATCACGAACTGTAAGTAGATCTAGTTGAACACATATGGGAGAAATTTGGAATGTTTCATGGTTAGAAATATATAATAAGTTTGTTTATGTAATTTGATTAAGAACTTGTTATTTGTGAGTTAAATCTATTATTATATTATTAAAATTGTGTGTGTTTTATTAGATTTGTGATGTATTTATCAATGTATGATAATAATTTTAAATTTTATAATATTATATACTAGATAAGGCCCCGCGTATACGCGGAATTTATCTTAAATTTTTTGAAATAATTTACGTAAAAATATTAAACAAAATATGATTACTCTTGAAGGTAAGTAAAATAATATTGAAAACCCGATAAGAAATCTTTGAACATCATAATATACTTCATTTCTGTTGTATAATAAACAATAATAGTTATATAATAATTCTATGATAAGCATATTTAATCAAGTAATAGAAACTCAACTCCTATAAAGATATTATTTGAAGGTAAGTAAAATAATATTGAAAACCCGATAAGAAATCTTTGAACATCATAATATACTTCATTTCTGTTGTATAATAAACAATAATAGTTATATAATAATTCTATGATAAGCATATTTAATCAAGTAATAGAAACTCAACTCCTATAAAGATATTATTTTCTTTAGGATTTCTAATTTTCCACTTTCAAATAATACATACTATCTTACAACAATAATTTTGATTTTGATTTCAATCCAATTGATTTAGAGTCAAATCATATCCGTTGCTTTCATGAACTTTAAGACATCTTTTTAATTTTAAAGGTTAGAGCTTTTTCCGTTAAAATATTAAACCTTTTTTATCTTAGAATATAAAATCTGCAAAAATATTATATTCGTTTTCCGTTAGAATATGAAACCTTTTTATCTTAAAATATGAGGCATGCAAATTTTTTTCCTTTTTCGGTTAGAATATGGAAAATATAATTCTTTCTGGTAAGAAATATAAAATATTTATTTTTCTTTTTACCATTGGAACATGAATCCTTTTTTATCTTAAAATATAAGGTATGAAATTTTTTTTTTTCATTTTCCTGTTAGAATATGAAACCTTTTCTACTTTTATTTTTCCTTTTCCCACATTTTTGTTTATTTTTCCGTTAGAATATTGACATTTTACTCTCTTAAACTATGAGGCATGCAAAAAAAAAATTCTTTTTTCCATTAGAATATGGAAAAAAAAATTCCCTTATTAAGTATCTTTTGAATTATTTTTTTTCCGTTTATTTTTCAAGACACATGTCAAAATCTTAAAGGTTGTAAAATTAAAAATTGACACATGTCGTGATCCTGTAAATTATAAAAATCCTATGTGTCGCAACCACATCATGCGCATCCAATTTTATATAATAAGATTGTTTTAATAATAATTATTATTTGTTTTTTTAATTATAATGTAAGTTTTTAAAAATTCAATTGTCATATAACTTAAAAAAAATAAAACAATTATTTAATACTTAACTATTTTAGTTTTAATTATTTATTAATTAATATAAAATCAGAAAACATAAACACAAAAATGAAATAAAATATGTAATAAAAAGGTGGGGTAGGAATCCTACCGTAGGATGTTGTATATTATTAAACAAAATCATTGTAGATAATAAAAGTTGAAAAGGGTGTTCAATAATGAGATGGAAAAGAAAGATGATGATGTGGAGTGTAAAGTAGGGTGTTGAAGTAAAAAAATCATTGTACATAGTCCTAGTTAAAAAAATAATAATAATAATAAAATCAACTTTTAGTTTAGTAACCATTGTTAGTTGAAGAAGTTTGTTAAAAGAAAACTTTTAAACTGTGTTATGTACATACATAGTCTTTGACTTCAGTTTACTCATAATTACATGCTTCCCTTAAACCAACTCGAATACACATTGCGGTATTTAGTTTAGCATCCATATGAAACTTGTGAATTGTGATAGAGCCTGTTTTGAATTGTGATTTGTTACTATTCATTTATAGAGTTACATGTTATGGAATATATATTATTATTTAATAGAAATTATCATTTTAAAGACTCTTCCTTGTAAGTAGTATTTTTGGGAGTTTTAACAAAACAAATTGTAAGTATTTTTGGGAGTTTTGTTAAACACACTGTTTCCCCAACGTTAATGTTCTTTTTCACTTTGCTCTCTCTCTCTGCTGTTAATCGCCTTTCACATGCTTTCATAAGAAAAAATAGGGTTTCGTTCTTATGATCTCACTTACCCCATGAGAGCCATGCCTATGATCCTTTCGTTCTACTTGGTTTTTGTCCACCGTGAAGCTGCTTCTACCAGGCGGATCTGAATGATAAACAAGGACTATGTGGTCTTGCCATGGACAGTTCAACAATACCCCAGTCCTTATATGTTTATATGTTTTCGCTGATTTGGAAAAACAATGTAGTAGATGACTAGAACAACTTTTTATTCTAGTGTAATGATTAGAATAATGCCAAGTATTTTTAAGTAGATCTCTTTTTCTTTATGTGTGTGCTCTTCTTTCATTATTACAGTTTAGCACACCTGTACGAACAAGAAGATTGAAACTAAGTTTAGGCACAAAACACATAAGTCTTTTAGCCAAGTTATAGCTAGTATCAGTAAAGATTGACCCAGCAAACCTCTGACATTAGGAACCAAGATCCATATCCAAAAACTCATTCCCACAAATGTGAATATGTATAATCACCTCTTCAAACAAAAACAGCAACCAAGCTTTTTGATTGAATTTATAACGAAAAAATATATCTTCCTTCAAGAGATTGTCAAGTTCCATTCTTGAACCTCCTGAGATCAGAGGTTATATTTAATTACTTGTAAACCTTTAACGATTGTATATTTAAGATGGTTAGGCCCGTGTAGTTTTGGTGTTTAGCTATTGCTTTAATCTCCACAGAGATACCAAACGCTTCGACGTTGTTGATCCTTGCAGGCTTTGTTTTGTCCGGCCACCATAACTGGCCTCCAACGATCTCGTCGTTTAAAATGTAGACATACTGTTTGACGAACCACTGGCCCGACGAGACAACAACCACGTCGAACTTCGGAAGAGCCTCCTGGAGCAAAACCAAACGGTTCGTTGAACTGACGGACGAGCCAAGATGACCACATCCGAGCTATCAGTATTCAGTATTGATGATCACCTGAAATACCACCTCTGCATCTTTCTGTTCCCTCGGTTCACCGGAGTTTCTACCTGAAAACATTTTCATGATATAAAAAGTTATATACAGACAAAAGAAAGTCTTTTGTTGAAGCAGAAAGAAGCTTGCCTGCCAAAGAAGGCACATGAGGGACTCCATTTGATTACGAGCTACGGAATCGCCTATAAGAGCTAGTGTCTTGCCTCTCATCAGCTCGAGAAATTTCTTGGAAGATCACACTGAGTGATGTTACATAAACAGTTAAAGATGTTTCTACTGAATCTTGTGTAGCTTCACCTAATGTAACATGGTTAGGGTCTTCGGGAAACACTTTGTTATCATCACTACCTTGTCGTGTTAATGGCGGTGAGTCTGAGGAGGTAGAGTCAGGAGATGGGTTTGGATCAGAAGTATCAAAGTCGCTACTATTGTGGTGAAAGCCCACGGGTTGAGTGGTGTCAGTGCCGTAGAGATACCAAGTAACAGAGGAACCAATGGGATGCGTGAAAAGAAGCAGGGAGACGAAGATGACGAAAGAAGCCAATCCACCAATAGCAAATGCAATCGAAGAAACTTTCCGAGGAAGCACTGTCCTTGTAACTCGTGGAGAAGCCAAACTCATGGTGTTTCTCCGTACAACCGAAAGCCCATACAACAGATAAGATCTGGGAGTTTGAGAATGAGAGATTGAGAGCAAAAGGCTCTTTTGCTCTTGTGTAGAATCAGTTGTTACAGAAGGAGCGGTTTTCATTTCGCAATGGAATCAAAATTAGCTACGATCAATGAAAATATCGTAGTATAGTAAGAGCCAACAAAGTAGCTGTAACGTGAACAGCTAAAGCTGCTCCAAATGGCCTGAATTCACTTCGACGTGATGCATGACTCAATTATCTATCTTTCCATATCAAGATCGTGACTTTGGACGTCGGGAACTCCTCCGTTCGCGGCCAAACTTCCGAAGCTTTGTTTCTGCTTGGTATCGAAAATTAACACTTGGAGATAAAATGATATTTTTACTTGGAAACTTGCATGAAACTTGGTTTGAGACCCTTTTGCTCCTTTTTTCATCTTTTTTGATAGTTTACCCTGCTAAGACTCCAAAACCCACAAATACAAGAAAACTACCTCTAAAGGCATAAAACCTTTATGAAAATACTGAAAAACATATGAAAACACTAAGTTAAAACATGTAAAATATGGATATATCATGTCTCGGGATCGGGTGAAGATCTCTGGTGTTGTGGCCTTGAGAGGTCGGGTTTTTTTAGTCTTTGTGACATTTGTGTTGAGATTCGAGGTCGAATCCAGTTTAGTGTGGGAGAGTTGTAATATCCGTGAACTAAAAAGATGAAGTTTTTGCCTTGTGTCGAGCGACACAAGTAGCAGTATCGGTCGACACAAGCCCTGGTTCGCAATTCCGGTCTAATTTGAGTGAATTGGCCTCCGGTTTAGCCCGGTTTGGGTTAGGAAGCCCTAAGGCTCGGGTTAAAAGGGAAAAAGAGCAGCCGTTTTGTCGTTTAGCGACGCAGAGTTTTGGAGAGAAGAGAGAAGTCAAATTCTGGGCGATTTCGTGGTGAATCCAAGTTTCTGGTGTCGATTCGCAGTGCTGTTCTTTGTGTTCTTCCTTGTTTCATATCCTATCCTCCGTTTCCAATCCGATTAAGGTGAGTGCATGACTGTAGGTCAGCGATTTACTAGATTCAGAATTGAATGAGATTGTTCTTGTTGTGTTCATGCGATAATCGGTTTATATGATGTTGTTTTGGTGATTTTTGTGATTGATTCTGTGTTTCTGTGATGTTTCGTTGATATTGATGTCGACGTGACAGACGTGTGTTGAGCGACACAAAGTGGTCGGTGTCGACCGACACCAAGCGGTTGTCGCTCGACACTGACCGGTTTTGTCCGGTTCAATTGGAATTGAATTTCGGTTTAATTGGATTTGATTCTGGTTTGAGTCTAATTAATTGGTATATTTGGATTTAATTAATTAAGATTTATTTAATTAATTAATTGACTTTAAAATATTTAATTAAATTATTTTAATTATAGAAAATTATTATTTAATCATGAGAATTATTCAATAATTGAGAAATGGAGTTTTTAATAATTTTGAGAATTATTAATATGTTATTTAATTGCTAGTAATTGTGTAACTAGCCTGTCATGATTGCCTCACTAAGTAATAATTAAATACTTACACATCTCCTTTGCAATGTGATGCCGGTAAAAGATTTGTGTGATCGCAGAATCAAAACTGAATTTGGATAGCCATTCGATGATATATGATTTAGGTTTTGAGGTTAAGGATTTTGATTTAAAGGTTTAATGTTGCATTTTAAGATTTAGGGATTTAGAGTTTTTTTACTCAATGAAAAACTGTAGTTTTGAAAATAGACACTATATTAAAAATATTCACCCAAAAAGTTGTAGTTTAAAAAAAAAAATTCCAATTTAAAATGTCTTCAAAAAGTATTTAGCCATCACAATTTACCAAATAAAATAAAAATATCTCGAACCAGACACAACCGGTTTGATAGCTCTATGGATTGTCAAAAAAAAAGCTCTATGGATTGTCAATTTGGTTCACGGTTAAAAACACTGACCAAAACCTAAAAGTTAAAATCCGACGGGGTTTAACAGAATTGAGAAAATCGCTTCGCTCACCCCAAAATTGCTCACTCACTTGCTTCCCTATCAAAATTGCTCCTTGTGAAATTCGAATCTCTGAATCCCAGATTCAGTAGAGAAGATGAGTTTCGCGGCCTACAAAATGATGCATTGGCCTACCGGCGTCGAGAACTGTGCCTCCGGCTATATCACACACTCCCTCTCCGATTCAACGCGGCAGATTCCGACTGTTTCCGGCGATGACCTCGAAGCCGATTGGCCTGCTCCTAAGCGCGGCATCGGCGCAGTGCCTAACGTTGTTATTACCGCCGGAAATATTCTTGAGGTGTACGTGGTTAGGGTACAAGAGGAATTAAACAGTAGTCACGAGCCGAGGAGCTCGAAGCTTGCTAAGCGCGGTGGGGTCATGGATGGCGTCTCCGGTGTTTCTCTCGAGCTCGTGTGCCATTACAGGTAAACATCACAAAACTCCAATTCTGAACTTTTTTTGTTTTTGATTTCAAAGTAATGATGTGACTGGTCTTGGATTGTAGGTTGCACGGTAACGTTGAATCAATCGCGGTGCTACCTATGGGAGGCGTAAATTCTTCTAAGGGAAGAGATTCAATCATGCTGATGTTTCGCGACGCAAAAATTTCTATACTTGAGTTTGATGATTCGATTCATGGCCTTCGAATGAAGTAAGTAAGAGTGTTAATTTCAGCTGTATCTGCTCTTAATTTGAATTTACTTGCTTGATTGCTTCAGTATTGGTAATATTTATGAAATATTAGTGACTCTTTGTTTCTTCTCGCAATGCAAGTTATGTAGCATTGGCACCGATATATGATGAAAACAGAAACTAATGGATATGTGATTCCTTTTCAGCTCGATGCACTGTTTTGAGGGTCCAGATTGGCTTCACTTGAAAAGAGGTAGAGAGTCCTTCGCAAGAGGCCCCTTGGTAAAAGTGGATCCTCAAGGCAGGTGCGGCGGCGTTCTTGTTTATGGTTTGCAGATGATCATCCTCAAGGCTTCTCAGGTTGGCAAGCTTGATCAACTTAAGATCATATAGCTGTTACTTCATCTGCTCGAAGTTTTCAACCTCCATTCATCTGTTTTAAGAGCTTTATGCTTCGGTTTTCAGGTTGGTTCTGGACTAGTTGGAGATGATGATGCGTTCAGTTCTGGAGGGACTGTTTCTGCTCGAGTGGAATCATCGTACATAATTAACTTGCGTGATCTGGAAATGAAACACGTCAAAGACTTTGTTTTTCTACATGGTAGGTTTACCTAGCAAGATTTCTCCATGGAGATCCAGCTAATTCTTTGTTTTGTTTTTAGTTCTTGTTATTTCTCTGAATTAGTAGGTAATCACAGTACATGTTATGATTATTATTGTTTCTCACCCGGTCATCTTTCATATGAAATACCTTGAATCTAGCTTTGTAACTTGTCGGTTTTAGATACAATACGATAGCAAACAACAAGAGAAAATAGATTATTGATATCATTTTCGATAGCTAGGTGTCTGAAATTTTGGTTATTCTTGTTTTCCAAATAGGTATTACGTGAATAAACTAAGTGGTGCTTCTTCTTTTGATTTTGTGTTTTTGCATCTTGTTTCTTTTCCAGGTTATATTGAGCCTGTAATTGTCATCCTTCAGGAAGAAGAGCATACTTGGGCTGGGCATGTTTCATGGAAGCACCATACTTGCATGCTTTCTGCTCTTAGTATCAATACGACATTAAAACAACATCCAGTCATCTGGTCAGCCATTGTATGTTCTTGATTTTACACTTTTATTTTAAATAGAAATAGCTTCCCAAGAATTCAAGTGTTTGAGTTGCTTAAGTAATATATATTGTAAGCTGAGAGCCAGAAATTGAAATCTTATCTAACGGTTATTGTATATTCTGTTTTGTTACATGACTAGTTTTTTCAATCAGCTTTTAAGAAATCAGAAACACCCAGGCTGAGTTTTCTTCTTCGCTCTTTGTTTAGAATGCTCAAAGGCTTGATTAATCCTTCTTCAGGGGGAACAAATCGTAGAATAACAAGTTATTTTGTGCATGCTGGAAAGATTGAACATACTGAAAAAAGTTCCTTCTGCAAACTTCAGTCCCTGATCACACTTATTTCCATTCTCTTTGTATTTTCCAGAATCTGCCCCATGATGCCTACAAACTACTTGCAGTGCCATCTCCAATTGGAGGTGTTCTTGTGTTGTGTACAAATACAATCCATTATCATAGCCAGGTAGGGTGATATCACTTCGCTTTTGCTTCTTCTGTTTTGAATGTCAACTCTTTCCAGCCACTTCACCCTGTTTGATTTTTCTTTTCTTGAAGATCAAGTTCTACAGTTAATTACACATCTGAGATACCATATTTTTTTTTGTAGTCAGCCACATGTGCTCTAGCACTAAACAGTTATGCTTCCTCAGCTGATAGCAGGTACAGTTTTCTCGCACACTCTCTACTCTCAAAATCTGCTTTCTGCTTATGTATATAATCCTGTTGCCTCAATCTTGGTTTAGAATCCTATAGCATAGAATCAACTTGCTGTAATTGTAAAACTCTACTCTGTTTATACAGTTAACCATATCTTTGTCTGTCGGGATTTATTTCAGTCAAGAGCTGCCTGCATCAAATTTCAGTGTGGAACTCGATGCTGCCCATGGAACCTGGATATCGAACGATGTGGCCTTATTGTCAACGAAATCTGGGGAATTGTTGCTGCTGACTCTTATATATGATGGACGGTAATATTTTGACCTTCTTTTTAAATTTCTGCTGATGCTTGTAAATCTGACTGCTACTTTCTTTTTTGAAGTGCTGTACAGAGACTTGATCTTTCCAAATCAAAAGCCTCTGTGCTTGCTTCGGTTAGTCAATATGTTCTTTCAGCATATTTGTGCGAGTTTGTATCGAGTTCGATAGGAAATCCTAAGATAATATACCAAATTTCCTTGCAGGACATTACTAGTGTTGGAAATTCCCTTTTCTTTC